GCAGGTGCTGCTCCACCTGCCGCAAACGGAGGCGTGGCTTCGCGCCAGCGGCGCCCGGGTGACGCGACTGACGAGCTCGGTGGCGCAAGACGCCGACAACAGACACGTGGACACGCACTTGTTGCAGCTCAAGGTAAACGACCGAAGCACTGCTCATTGGCGTATCAAGCCACCTCGGAATTGTTTCGTCGATTCTACTGATTCATTCGTTGTTTGGGTCATTTTTCGGGAACGATTGCCAACGTTCGTCCCATTCGTCGTTTTTGGACCGCGCTGTCGCTGTTAGCTTGAAAAAAACAGTCGGATTACCCAACACTCTTTTAAAAGTAACTCGGTTACTTTACTGCCGACTTGTTTTAAAAGTATTTGTTGCATGCAGTGTTACCGCTGTCGATATGCAAAAGTCATCTGATGTATCAAAATGTATGTTTCCTGCTTTTGGTTGAAAAAGTAACGCAATTAGATGACAAGTTGCAGATTCCTGCGCGGTATGCTGTGCGCAGGGTTACCCCGGCGGGCGCAATCGTCAGCTACATTTGTACCGCTCACATTTGGAACTCGGTGGCCGAAAGATTCGGATTGTTTGTCAGCAAAATAAAGAATCGATCGCAATCCGCTTGCGTCGATGGGAAAAACAAGAGCAGGCGTTCACGCTAAAGTATCAAATGATTGCCGCATTTACACGGCAAGCGTGTTGACAAATATTTTCCCACGTTTTCAAGTGTCTCCCCCTGGTGGACAGGGTTTCACTTCATCACTTGCCAACCGATCAAAACGACTTCTCCACAGTCACTCGCCATTCAGTGTGCAAATGATTCATGGCCAATTTCCCATCATGCCTTGCTCCACTCGGGGCCGTCGGTCCGTCTGTGGGATTTCTTTCACTCACCTCCATTGTTCAAGGTCCGTTGCGTTCGATTTGAGAGCGATTCGTGGAGAAATGACTCAGTATGGAGAAGAAATCATCAGTGGGACGCGTCTCGATCCAAAGAGTCACATTGAAAGTGACCGTTTGCTGCCTCCTGGTGGCGAGAAGTCAGAAGTGACCATGGAATCTTATTCGGCTTCTGCGCTCCCTGGATTCTTAGATAACATGGACCAAGAGTGCCAAAAAGGTTGTTGTTTTTCCCCTACGTTGCTGTGGTGGGCTTCTTTTTGTTGAGTTGCTTTAGATTCATCCATTGCGTCACTTGGTGGTCATTTGCTGAAATTACAACTGAGAGGCATTTTCAACATGGAAGCCAAGCTCACTTTGGAGGACTGAGTTTGAACGCCGCTTTACTCGCGCGTGGATCAAAGTGCTTACGACAAAGTCAAAAGTGCGCTCGCTGTGCGCTGAGCCGAACGAAGCGCCCCCCCACCCCCCCCAGGTTGTTTTTATCCTCATCGCACCCCGCGCTCGTCATCGGGCATCCGTCGACGTGTGTGCGTGCCGAATGAAGATGGCGGGGCGCTTTTTCGTGTGGCATCTTGCCGCTTCGTGACCTTCACGCTGCCCCTCAAAGGCACCCACGCGGTGGTGTGTGTGTGTGTGTGTGTGTGTGTGTGTGTGCGTGTGTGTGTGCGCGCCGGAATGCGTTGGCCAGTTCCAACAGCTGCGTGAGGAAAGTCGCGACTGCTCGAGGGCGCGAGGGCGCATGCGATGATGTCACTGCGGCCGCCACGTCCGGAATGCACCACGTGACACAGAAAGAGCAAGGAACGGCTTCTGGCCTTCACTTGCTGACCTCGCCTTCCTCACAACTCACCAAAACCTGAGTCGGCAAGCGTGTGAGCGTGCGCAAGTGTGAGAGAATTTCACAGTGGCGGGCTCCAACGTCTTACAAAGTGTGCGTGTGTGTGTGTTTGTGTGTTGTTGCAATGTGTTTGTATATGTGGGCATGCATGTGTGAGGGGTGCCTGGGTGAGACGGCTCCCAAAATAACTCGCAACTGTTGCTCCCCCCCCCACCACACACACCCAATGGAAATGGAATAAGCAGGTCAACGGGCACGTGCACACGCACGCACGCACGCACACACACTGCAACACGTTGACAGAGTCCGAGTGAGCGTGTGGCGGCCACATGGACGTTTGCAACGTCGCGGCAGCTTCTCATTTTTGAAGACACTCAAAGAAACGCGCTCAAGGTAAGAAGTTGGACATTGCGCGTGCGAGACCGCAACGTTGTTGACCGAGTTGGAAGGGACTTGTTGACCTGGCCTTGTTGGTATGATGTCATGGGAGCACGGTTGCTGTGGTTACGCTGCCGTTAGGGAGCGTGGTCACAAAGAGTTGGCGTTGATTGACCGCACAAACTTTTGGAAATTGCGAGACACAACATGGATTGTGTTGATTCGATTGCTTTTTGTGTGTCTGGGGGGGGGGGATTTTTTTTTCCCTCCGACACCCCTCGCAATGGAATTGGGACCAGTCTGCGGGCTACCGGTCGACTTGAACGTCGCCGCTTCTTGTTTGAGAAAGGCGGTCCGACGGATGGCAGGACTTTGAAGCTTATTGGCCGAAATGGCGGCCGTCTTTTGATGTCTTTGATGTTGACGAAGAGGACGGCCATCCGACCTGAAGCGCGCCCGCCCGCGCCCGCCGTCCGAGCGGCCCCGCCGCGCCGCGAAGGCTTTGACGCGGCGCGCTCATGTCAGTGCCAGAGCGTGTGCGCGTGTGGCGGCGCGATTGCCTCTGTGCCCGGGCGTGCGCGTGAGATTGCCGACGTGAGAGTGCGTGTGTGTGGCTGCGCACCAAAGAGTGAGCGTGTGGATGCAAATGGTTGAGAACGTGCCAGAGTGCAAGTGTGGGAGACTTGAGGGGTGTGTGTACGTGTGCACCTGCGCGTCTGCTCACGCGCGCGCACACGGTTCGTGTGATTAGCGCCCGGCAGATGTAAGCTCCTCCAAATGAGTTGAGATGGAAAAGGCAGACTCGCTGTTCATTGAATGAGATGTGCGTTGATTTGCATATGAAAGTGGCGTGCGCGCCAGCAAGTATCAGAAAGACGCGACGAGGCCCTCGTCGCTGTTTGATGGCAACGTGACCGCACTTTGATGACCCAACCGCGCACGCGTGCGCGCCTGCCGTCATTCCCGACTCCCCGTCGGGCGCTCGCAGACGTCCCAGCGGGTCGTTTTTGCCGTTTGTTCTCCGCTGCGTTGATGTGAAAGGGAGGGGGGGGGGGGGGCGCCGGGTTGATTCCCTCGTGGCAGAAGACGCACAAGGCTTTGATGTGACGGCTCGCAAGTCACTCTGAACTTTGGCCAGCAGAACCTCCAAAGTGGTCCGTTCAGGACAAAAAAAAAACCCCCAAAAGACGGTGCAACATTTCGGAACAGTTTCGGGACAACGGGGCAAGTGTGCTCAGGGAAATGGAAGGTGGCACGTTCAGGAGGAATAGATTGGTCAAGCTTGAAAATTTGGAACTAGCGCCCTCAGGAAAGAATGGAACGGAAAGTAGAAGGCGGCTTGGCCAAAATATGCTCTTGGGGTACACGTGGAAACATTTGAGGCGGAGGCGTGTCCAGGAAGAAATGTGGTTGAAAATTGCCAGGTCGTGTTGTGCGTCTGAAAGACGGCGGCTAGGCTACGTGCCGGCTCCCGTCTGCGGGTCTTGGTTGTCACGTGACCTCTGACCCCAGCGCCGGGCCGGCGTCACCCCGGGCCGCCCTTCGTCCTCCTTCCATGCGCATCTGGCGCGGCCGCAAAGGTCGTCCGGTTTCGCCGGCCGCCGGACTATTTTGAGCGTCCCGGCCGGCTACCCGAGCCGCTCCCCGCTCGGCTCGATGCCGCAACTTGATGAGGCGCGACCTCCGTTCCGGACCGGCCGGCGCAAAACGAGAGCAAATCCGACTGTCGGCCCGCGCCAGAGTGTGTCGTCGCGTGACCGCGCGCGGTCCCGCGGACCCGTTCACCTGACTGCGCGCTGTTCTGTTCATTGCGCGCTCCCTCAGGACATCTGCGAGGACATCTCGGACCACGTGGAGCAGATCCACGCTCTTCTGGAGACGGAGTTGTCCCTCAAGCTCCTGTCCTACTCGGTCAACATCATCGTGGACATCAGGTGAGCGACGGCACGCAAAGGCCTCCTTCTCCCGCTGCGCCTTTTGGACGTCTCGTCCGTGTGTTTTCCCGCTCAGGACGGTGCAGCTCCTGTGGCACCAGCTGAGGGTTTCGGTCCTGGTTCTGAAGGAGCGGCTCCTTCGGGGCCTGCAAGACCCCAACGGAAATTTCACCGGGCGGACCGACATCCTGCAGGCCTTCAGCCGGGACCCGGACCCGGACCCGGACCCGGACCGACACCAGGTGCGCCCTGCGGCCTCCTTCCTCCTCTTTGCGGCCGGAACCTTGTTCATCAGAACCTCCGCGACGCTTTGACCCTGAGGTGGCATGTTGAGCAATCGATCAATAAATAAAGGGTCGATCTTCTCGGGGCTATCGGAGGTGCAAAAGGTGCACGCGGAATGGGGCTGAGAAAGACCAAAACATTTGGAGGTTGCGTATTTCGAAAAAGAAACGGTGGCGCTATGTTGAGGGCGAATGGCGGAACGGTAGAAGCCAAATTGAAAGGAAGCGGCTCGCCAGCTTCTGCCGCCGCTTCCTCCCAACTCACCGCCCGACCGACTCGCTCTTGTCCTTCAGACTCGCCGACTGGACGCCCTGACCGAAGTGGACGACTGCGGCCGGCTGACCATTCGCTGCAGTCGCGACTATTTCTCCCTGGACTGCGGCATCACGGCCTACGAACTGAGCGACTACAGTCCCGGCGAGGAGCCCGAGACCGGGGAAGATCAGGACGCCCCCCGGGAGCCGCGCGACATCCCGGCAGCGGACTCGGAAGGGAACCGGGAATCGCAAGGAGGGCGGCGCGCCGTCCCGTGCGCTTCGCCGAAACCCGCGACGTCCGAAGACTCGTTCGACCGCAGCCGTCCCGACTCGGGAGACGGCCCGGCGACCAATCGAAACGAGGCCGCGAAGCGTTCTCTGTCGGCTGACGTCCACGACGCGGCGCCGTCGCTCCCGAAGAGAGTCGCTCTGATCTCAGACGACGAGGCGGCGGACAACCGGGGGGTCTCTGAGCTCCAAATCCAGGCCCGACCAAGCCACAGCGGCCCCGCCGGCCTCGTCGAACCTCTCGTGGAGGATCCCCTCGTGGAGGATCTCCTCATGGAAGATCCTTTCATGGAGGATCCTCTCGCGGAAGGTCATCTCACGGGCCCTCCGTACCGCTCCAAGTTCTGGTTGGAGCTGGACTCCCTTTGCCCGGAAAACACTTCAGAAGACGTCCGCGACCGCGAGGTTCGTCTTTCGTCCCCGCTGAAGCCTCCAGATGCGTTTGTGATTTGAAGCCAAGCGCCCGCTTTCCCCCGATCTCCGTCCAGCAGGTCGCGAATGGCGGCGACCTCCGAGAGGGTCCCGCGATGGCAAACGGGAGTCCTTTCCGGAGAAGGCGAGCGGAGCCTCGTGCCCACGGCGACGGGGACTCTGACTTCTCGGCGGCGTCCCCCGCCGGGGATCGGGTCCCGTCCTCAGACCTGGATGCCAGCGGGGAGGATTCGGACCCCAGGCCGGCCGCTGGCAAGATGCCCTCCTGGCCCGGGAAGCAGAAAGCGCACAAGGTGAGCGATGGTTTGTTTTCGCCTCGGCCGTTCTTCTGACGTCCTCGCCACGCCGCAGCGGGAGCGGCAGGCGCGCCCGGAGGCGGGCCCGGACCGGGAGCGCTGGTACGGGTCGGAGGACTTCCTGGCGCTCCCCGCTCAGCTCCACCAGAGCGAGACTTTGGCCATCAACC